GCCATAAATTATTTTAGTAATAAAAATAATATGTGGCTTAAAAGAGAGCGTAAATCCATTACAAAAAGCAGGAACAGGTAAAACAGTTTTTCTCAATGTCTGAATGATCAGCTTCTAAAACAATCTGGATCAGCTGTTTCAATAATGCTTTTCTACTGGTGTTGTTATGGAAATGAAGTTTTTTACCATATGTTATTTTTTGAGACCTGGTTTTGTTCTTATTCTGGCAAACAGTTTGTAAGCATGTGTAAGTAATATCATTTTATATATTGGTATAAAATTAGCAAATTAAGTGAATAGCCATTTTCATAGTGCCATTCTGCAGCAACGCCATAAAGAAGCTCCGCTACCCATACGCCTTAAGACATTCATATTTTCATTCATTTAATTTTCATTTTATTTGTCATAAAGGAAAAGATTCAACTTTACTGTTAAATGGGCCTGAATCAGTTCAAATCTTTTTGTGCAGGTTCCCGTTCTGCAGCACACAAAAAACAAGGATCACATCAGACAAAAGAAACCACAAACAGTCAGACTTAGCAGCAACACAGACAATCAGAGGGTGGGGGGACAACTAAAATTGACATTAAATCAGGGATTGAAAGTTTGTCCATTCATCAGGTGGTGTTTATATGTCTGCTCGAAATGCACCACTGAGGTTGTTGTAATAATGTGGTATCTCATTCCAGAGGTTTGATTCCACAGCGGTGTAATGTTGGTGTCCCAGTCTGTGAATTCTCATATCATTAGAGTATTGCGGATGCGTGAGAGAGCAAGGCACAGTGTGAGCACCACATACTCATACAGTCAGACATGTACACACAGAAAGCACTGTTCTCCCTAGCTGGCTCCACCGATCGCATCTGACCCCTTTAACGCCTCTGTTAATACTTGCACCTAATGCAGCACGGAGGTGGGATCACTTTGTCCCATCATTACACCTCTGCGACATTTACATTGAAGATGAAACGTGACAGGGGTGCAAAAATATCACACCTTGAAATGGTAGTCTGAATAAAGCAAAGGAAATCACAGTAAATATAAAAGAGCGTAATTATTGAAGCAACATGAGTAATATTAAAGCAAACAAATGTGCTCATGTGATGAAAATGTGATACACGCAGGATGTGTTGCATGTGAAAGAAACTGAACAGCTTGACTAAAGCAGAGGTTTCACACTTACCAAGTGAAAAGAACATGTTGTGATCTGATCTTTAGCAATGCTACAGCTGCAATAACTATGGAAGAGTTATTCCGCAAACTGAAACACACCTTCATTCATGGGACTGAAAGAGGACACACGGGTGTGGCCGACCACAAACACATCCACAGGTAACCATGGCCCCGGTGTGTTCATGTTCAGATTGGTTCAGATGCTGGGACAAAACAAGAAAATTTACATTTTTTAAGAGTAAACAAAACTGTGTTCACAGAATAAGAAACCAAGGACCAAAAGAAAAAAGACAAAGATTGACAGCTAACTGAAAAAAACAAAACATCAGGCCAGACATCACAATGCCACAACAGCCATCATGCACAAATTAAACCTCTACTGTTGTGTTGTCTTTCAAATATTCAGAGAATGAAACCCATTCCTTAGAAAACGTATTGTCTGAGCAGTTGAGCAGGATGATTTTCTTCCTGCTATCATTCCAACTGGCAAAGCCATTGTTTGTCCTGAATCCTTAATAGAGCATCCAAAAAGGGCAAGTTGAGTGTCAGGTTAAATGATCTCTCCAAAGACTCTAGAAAGTATGTAAAATGTATCAACCAGATATCATGCAAAGCTGATTGCCATCGGCTGTTTGACATGTGGTAAATGGACTTGAGCTCGTATCGTTTTGAGTTGTCTTCTGACTACTCAAAGTGCACATTCACACCCTGACAGTAGAAGCTTCTATTTAAAGAGTCATCAGTATTAACTAATTTATTCATACACATTCACAAAGCGCTGACATAGCAGCGGGAGTCATTTTGGGTTAGGTGTCTTGCCCAAGGTCACATTTGAAGTGTGTGCAGGAGCTGGGGATCAAACCCTTAACAGTCGGGTTAAGAGACGACAGACTCTACCACTCATGAGACACAGGCATCCCATCCATCACACAGATGAACAATTTAAAAATGCATTTTGTTTTTGTGTATGTGTAAGTGTGTGTGTGTGTGTGTGTGCGTGTGTATGTGTGCGTGTGTGTGTGTGTGTGCATGTGTCATTACATAATTCCTAGAATTCTATATCCCGTTCACTCCTTCATGACTCCTTCAAGTGTTTGTTAGCTACAGAAATATCAAAAAGGGAGGAAAACTGAGAAATCAAGCGTCTGGAGTTAGGTGGGTGTTGCAGGACTTAATTAATCCGATGTTTCTTGGGAACATTTTTTAAATAGTTCAATAATCTTTTCGTGCTTTTATGTTGAAACTAAGTATAATCATTCGCTTGGACTCACTTCAGTTTTGTACCTGTCACCTGTGGAAAACTGTTCTTAAAACTGTCAATTTACATATTAGCTGCGTTAATGAAATACCCTCCTTTAAATGTCGGCTGTGATCAGCGGTACAGTACTACTGTTAGTTACGTAGCAGTCTCTGCTATAAATTAGTGTATGGGCGAACGTGAAATGTAACATAAAAGCAGTGGTACTGCAGGGTATACGCAGGTACGGAGTATACCCACTTATAGGGTATACTCTGTCATGATTTGATTTAGTATTTTGTTTCTTTCAAAGTTTAGGTTTGCTTGTTATTTAGCCTAGTGTTGCTTGTTTCCCTTGTGTGTTTCCTAGTTTAATCCTCAGTGTTTCTTGTTTTATTTTATAATCTGTTATCCTAGTGTTTCTTTATGTTCTAGTGTGTCTTGATGTTACATTCTTGAGTTTCTGTGTCTTCAATGTTACATGATTTATTTCCAGTTGTCTTCAATGTTTTTAGTCTTGTATTTCTTCCTGCTTCTGTGTGTTTCCCTCCAGTCTTGATTGCCCTGATTGTCTTCACCTGTGTCTTGTTGGTCTCACCTGTGTTTGATTACCCATGTCTATTTAGTCTCAGCGTCCCTTCCCTTCTATGTCAGATCATTGTTCTATGTCATGTTTAATTGTTGCCTTTTTGTTGATAATAAATAGTTTTTTGGGTTTCTGCACTTTGGGTCCAGTTACTATTTTTTTTTACATTCTGTGACATACTCACTTCTAAATATGCTCTGATTTACACCAATGATTGGTTGACAATATTCAGTAATTGCAATTTTTAGGATGGTGAAGGGATGACCCTCCCTACTCTCTGTCTCTAACTGGTTAGTACACACTAACTAAATATACAAGAGTAGTTATTCCTGTCACTGTTTATAACAGAGGCCGATTATTCTCTGCAGTACTGGTCACTTATAGAAAAAAAAATGGGGGGGATTTCAGAGTATACCCACTTCTTAAGGCACAACTACACTACTTTATACTTTGAGTGTTGAGAAGATTAGAAAACCCTTTCTAGAAGTCTATTTGCCATTAACATTATTATGTCTTTCTTTTATCATTTATCCACATACTACATGGCTCAGCGTGTCAGTGGTGGAACTGAAGTTGATGGAAAAAATATATAAATGAAATACACAATACGTCACGTGAAGAGTCTGTCAGCTACAGAGTGAAGTGGAGCTTCCTTTTGATTTTCATTCTGCAGCACACAGGCTGCTGGTTTGCATACAGTTACAGCACAGCTCCAGACAGCAACAACACACAGTACAATCAACAGTTTCCTTCAACACTAAAACTACATACACGTCAACACATATCAGTTAATCATATGTTATTACTAGCCATATAGTTACATTACCTGTAGACTACAGATATACATAATTAATTGTATTAAGTGTATCTTCCCTAAAAACAATCTTAACATTTAAAATTGCAATTATGCTTCAACAGTGCTTTATGAGTTTGTCTTTTATTTTTATTTTGAATATTGTAGCAACACAGTTCACCTGACAACCACTGACCATCAGGCTGAAAGAATGCGTCTGTTTGATTTTTATTCCCTCTTCATTATTCCTTAATGGGATGATGTCCACAGTTTTGTAAATGTTTTGTAGACAGAACTGAAATGTTTGTCTAAATTTAGCAGGACATAATACAGTACTGTACAGTTCGAGGTACCTGATCCTGCAGATGTTCTTGAAATGACCTCTCTTGTAATTTGCATGATGAGGTTTAGTCTCGGGTTGCTTCTGTATTTGCCTTGCAGAGTCCAGTGGAAGAGGATGCAGTTTATTTTCCTCTACAGCATACACTGACAATTAGACAGGGTTATCCAAATCTGCCATTGGTCAACTTCTACAAAAAATAGGGAAGAAAAACTTAAAATAAATGTATAAATAATAACATAAATACTTAAAACAGTTTATTTGTAAACCTAATCCTAATCCATTCATTCCTACAACACCTTTTTGTTAACTATGTACTTGGTGAGCAGTACGAAGCAACAAAACAGGAGGCATGTATATATGTCCTATTATGTAAAGTACACAGTCAACAGATGACAAGTGCCTGACATCTATTGTGAATGTGTGAATGGCCTTTGTCAGCATTTTGCATCCTCTGTAATCCTACTAAACAATCGCAGCAGAAAGGAGCCAAAAAAAAAGAAAGAGCTGATTTACCTAGCAGTTAAGGCTGTGGCTCTCTGTGCTTGCTCCTGTTACTCCAACCGTGCCCTTTGTCTGGGGCCAGGGCTTGGTAGGGCCAAACATTTGCATGCCAAGGGCCACTTGAATGTGAATTTCCCCGGATTCTCACTACCTGACATGCAAAACCAGCGGGGGACCAGTTAAAATGGCGCAAGTGCACAGTCGTCACAGGTACACAGGTTTACTCCAGACAAAAAACAGATCTCCCCCTCTCCTCCAAACACACCCATGCAGCCACGCGCACACACACACACGTGTACACACATATACATCAGCATGCATGCATGTGCACACACACCCACCCACACACACACACAAACATCTCTCTTCCCAGAGAGTTATGGAAATGAGTGCTGTGATTTTGCTGTGACTCTGATCCTACAGGTAGTCGAGGGAAGACGGCTGGATGTTCAGACTGAAAGTTTGGTGAGATCTTATCTAGTCCATAGCAGATAAAAGCTGAAAGCAGTGTGTAATTTGTGTGCAAGCACTGGTATGGTCTGTTAAAAGACAGATAAACAGAAAACAAAACAGAGGAAAATTCAGAGAATGCCGAGGTCTTTCCTTGTGAAAAAGAAACGAGGGGCATGTGGAGCATGGCAATGGAAAGAACCCGAACAGCTTGAGTGGAAAGAAGACAATATTCCTGGTAAGTATCTTAAAAAATTCAATTAATTTGTCAAAATTAAACTGAAGCAAAGTGTTTTTAGACAAATCAAGATGTATTTCTGTAGATGTAATTAATATACATAATAATTTAGGACGAAAGTGTTACTATATTTCTCATTTTAGTGAATGAAAATGCACAGCAGCACGAATCCTTCTGTCCTGACGGCCAACAGAGCACCCCCATCCCTCACACAGTGTCCTCCGAGGCAAGTGTGACAGCAGAAGGGATGAGAGTGCCTGTGCCTTTAACAGGATCAGCGGCTGACACCAGGCCTGGCTGGTCCACATTGATGCTCCGCAGCTCTTTGTACCATCCCAGTGCAATGGCACTGGTTAACAGAGCCAAGGTAAGCTCAGACAACATCTCCTACAACATCCAGGGTGAATATATGGCACCAGACAACTACCAAACTTACTTTTCAGTCTGTGTTTCTGCCACTTCCATGTGGCAGCAGCTTTGTGTGTTATCACTGTCCTTTTTACAGATAATAGTACAAAAAGAGTCAGTGAGAGCAGGGTTGTAAAAGCAGGACAACTAGCTGTCTGCTTTTAACAGAAATGAAAACTAGAGAAAGGGTGTAAGAACAGAATCAACTGCAGATGCAGTCTGATTTTAGTTTTCCTGTTTTTACCCAAAGAGGGGGATTCATATTATGTTCAATGAGTGCCAAAAACTAACAAAAATTTGAGTTGTTTGACGAGGTACATACAGTATATCCCTTTTTCTAGACCCTCCCCGGGCTTGCATCTAAAAATGCAGCTCAGTTTTATCAGACGTGGAAAACCTGACTGCAGTTTAAGAACCTGTTTTCTCCCTCCCCCTCTCTCTGCCTCAGTGAATAGATTTGTGTAGACATGTCCCCACTGTCCTTTATTGTATAAACACACCTTCCTTTAACTGTGGTGTTGCGGTTCATTACAATGTTTCATGTTGAAGTATAAAGTAATGTTTATGTAGAAAGAAAGAGTTCTTGAATGATAATTTAGCTTGAAACCAGAATATGCCTGAGGTGGGTTAACCTGTATAAAAAGGATTTTGAAGCGGTTGACTGGAATGATAGGTACTTGTGCTGCATATTATCAACACTTTCTCCTACAAATTGTCTTTATGTCAATTGAGAAGCACATGTTTTGTGATAATGTCATATTTTAAACACATTTGTGAACTAATCGAATCTCTTCCAGCCCCGTCTCCGCTCCACTCCCGGCTCGGGAGACTTTGTATGCTCATTGTGCCACAAAATATTCCCCCTTCAGCGCATGTTGACCAGACACCTCAAGTGCCACAGCCTGGTGAAGAGGCATCCCTGCCGATTCTGTGGCAAAGGATTCAATGACACCTTCGATCTCAAGAGGCATATGAGAACACACACAGGTCAGGAATGAACATTGCTCTCACCCTTACACACACACGTCAACACACACACGTCAACACACACATACTCATCTGGTACAGAGTATCATAAAGGTTATGGGAGGGAATGCAATGAACACTAGACCCTCTCCTTGCAATATGGATGTGTAGTCTATTTTTCAGGCCAGCACATATGTCAGACTAATTTCTCACTCAAAGTATAACTTTTAAGATCTGGGAGACAAAAAAGTTTTCCTCAAATAACCTTAAATCTGAAAGCACTGCATTAAAAGCAGATATGGTGTATTCAACTTTACTGATGTTTAAAGCTGCTTACTTTTGACAACCGTTACTCTACATACTGTAACCCTCTACAACCACATTAACCAATCAATTTATTTAGAGATGGATCTATCTTCTGAGATCCTGAGTTTAATGTTAATTTTCAAATGTTGTATCTGCAGTATGTAATTGATTTTAATTCTACTTAAATAAATACGTTTTTATTTTAAAGAGTCTGAAACACAGAACTCTCATTTTTGGAATGTCTGCCATGCAGCATGACTCAGTGTTGGTTATGGTTATTATGTCAGCAATGATACAGAATCATTATTGGAGGGTGTAACATCCCACTCCACACTCAGAAACTCAAGCTTGGTGTATCGATAGTACCGTTTAGTGGAGATGCTTTACTTCTTGCAAAAATATCTGAGGTCTTCAAATATTTGAAAGATCTGAAGGTATCTACAAATGTTTTGCTGCTCTGCAGTACACATACTTTACTTCATATCATATCATATTCTCGTCACTTAATGATCCAAGTTTAATGTCATTTGCTACAGATGGGAAACTGGTTCAGGAATGTTTGGGAAAATGCAACTTGTGTGATAATGAACACACTCCTTGATCAAAAAAAGAGCTCAGCTACTGAAAAGCTTTTTGATTGAGAAATAGCAATACATACCCCTACCACTTAAAAATGTTGTCTTCTTGCAGTCCAGATAAAAAAAAAGGTGTAAATTGGATTTTATTTGTCTTTCTTTTTGTTATTTGGGTATATAGTTATTGATAATTTGTTCTTTTTCTGCTTCTCAACAATGTTATGACAGCAGCAGCCTTGTTTCATGATTTGTCAGACAACTGAAAGCCACTCAAATATATCTGTAAATGAAGTCTTAGCATTTTAGAAACGTCCTTATTTCTGTTCTTGTGCTGCAGGTATACGTCCCTACAAGTGTGAGCTGTGTGAGAAAGCCTTCACGCAGCGCTGCTCTCTTGAGTCCCATATGAGGAAGATTCACGGCGTTCATCAACAGTATGCCTACCGTCAGAGACGCTCCAAGATCTTTGTGTGTGAGGATTGTGGTTACACCTCAAGCCGCCCAGATGAGTACTTCCTACATATGAGGCAGTGCCACCCAGGGAGCCCCTCCTTACGCAGATACTACCGTCGCCAGGCCCACAACAACAGCAGCTTTGCCTCAGGAGACCGTAAACTCCACCCCTTCCTGCTGTACTCAAATCCTGCATACTACATGTAGTGCTCATTAAAATGTTGAACTGCAATGCATTGTATTTATAAGCCACTGGTAGATGTAAAAAATGTTGCTAATTTAATAAAGTATCCAAATAAGTATCACTTTCTGATATATGTGTCTGTACCCTTTCAATGTTCATTCATCAGCTACTGCTTCTGCAATACTCCTCTATTTTCCTATTTCAAAAGTTTCTCTTTCTCTCACTATGATTAGTTGAAATTCAAATGAAAGGAAAAGTATTTTTAATGTTGGTTTTATTATGTAAAAACACATTTTTGGACAAACGTGGCTAATTGTTAAGGCAATCAACCAAACAACTAAATTGTCACAAAAGGGAGATCCAAATAATTGCAAGTCAAGGGGACAGAAATCTGCTCACAGTTAATTATTTTGTGCAAGTGAGGAGGGATAGTGGTACACCCAGTACATATCGGACATATAGGATATATCTGAGGTTCAGTGTATTGCTCTAGAATTATTACCCACCTGTCTAAAGTTTGCAAAAGAAAGTATAAAAGGAAATTCCAACCCTGGTCTAAAAAACCAAAGAAATAAAGAACCTAATAACCTAAGGCAAGTTCAATTTGCAGTCAACAAAAATAACTCATTAAAATGACACAAGTACAGTGATAATAATAACAAAACAAAGCAAGTAATGACTTATGGTGAACTAAGGCCAAAACTGCAAACAAATGATGCTTTGTCTTTACCTTTAATAAAACCAAAATACATTTGCTATCAAACTCCCATGTAAATCAAAAACAAGTGCAAAAGTGTAATAACAGAAAACTGCAGCGCTCCCCTTCCCTTCATAGGAAAATTATGGGGAACATCAAGCAGACTTAATAGACCACATACAAGTATTTCTGACATTGTATTTCTAAATACCACCCTCTAGTGTCAAAGGTCTGTAATGTTAGACACGTTACATTGGTACATTTATAGTAATATGTATTATTCATTTGACAGTAATTCAGCTTGAAAGTCTTTTGCCTTAGGACCATGCATTTGTGTATTCATTTGCATTTTCACAACATATTTCAAAATTCTAACTTTACTTCTAAGGTTTAACAATATTTTTATTTTATTTTAAGATTTGTTTTTCAACAAACAAATACAATTTGAATAAAAACAAATAAGACAGCCTCATATAGAAAGGTCTTCTGAGAAAGTTACTGTAGCTGCAGAAAACTGAACAACAGACTTATATAGTAAACCTGACAAAACACATAAAGGTGTAAAAACATACACATTTTTATCATCACACAAGTTTGAACCATTGTTATCAACGTTTGTGGCAGTTAAGCCTGGGCCAAACGGAAAAACTTTCCACATTGAAGCACAGACTCACACCGCTTTTCTTTTTGAGAGTCTTGGTTCATTTTGCATAATTTTCAACAACCAGGCTTGCCACATTTCCAAGGCCAGTGTGCAACGTGGTCCATGCAAACATAATCTGCAACTCCAAAATGAACTCTAATGGGTGGTGGTTACGATGTGGCAGTAAGTGATGAAGGAGGAAAAGTTTGTTGCACCCTCTGCCTTTAAGCTCTTTTGTTTCAGTCGCTTGTGGAAACCAAGTCGTACAGTGACTGAGATAGAGCAACCAACAAGGCCTAGATAACTTTATGGTTTGCCAGAACAGGTAGATGTACCACCTTCGCGACCTCATGGTTTCCTTATTTAATCAATAATTTAAACAATATAAAGTGTTCTTTGTTTAGTGTCAAATGTCGAAGGCCAATGTGACAATGGTATTTTCCTGATTTGTTTTATGTCAATTTGTACAAGAAATGTGGTCAGAACAGCTTATATGTATTCTAGGACTTTATATTAAAGCATAAGAACTAGCGTTTGGTATCAAAAATCAAGCCATTTAAAATTAGCTAGTTCTGTCACATATGTTGACCTGGCACAGACATCTTTGAAATGTTGTCATGTGGGAACACAAATTAACATGACCCCACTGGGATGTTCAGGATGTGTAACTTGGAGACTTAATGATTTAACATTGTAAATAAAGCTGTATACAGAACTTCCCAGAACATTTAAAGGATCTTGGACACCTGTGTCACTGTCGGTTCTTAAATGGTTTAACAATAGTTAAAGTCATAAATGAAACAAAGCTACATTGACAAATATAGTTTTATAAAAATGTTTGAAAGCTGCAAACAGTCATTGAAGTACATGAAAGTCATTTATATTGATTCAGTAGTCTACACTGGTGGAGGGGGTTAAGAAAGCACGTATATAGGATAGGGGGTGGGGCGGGCGGCTTATAGAGAGCTTAACCCTGATACTGGGTGAGGTATACTGGAGGTGAACGTAAAGGAGGAGCATCCTAATAATCCACAATGAAATTCTAACTAAGATCAATAGAGAGGGGGAAAAAATAAAGTTTGACTGCAGCCAGATGTCGTTTGTGGCAAAAATGTATTGATACCGATATCTGAAAACCACCCTTCCAACTCAAATGAAATAGCCTGCATTCTATGTCAACCTTTCTTTTAAGTGTTTTTTTAATGTTACTTTCTGCTGACACACATGGTTTATTATTTATATATTTAATGTATCATATTTTACATTTTACTTTGCTAGTTTATCACAAGTGTTTGTAAATACATATCAAAATATTTAATATATAGAAATCTAATATAAATATTTTTCAAAACTATATAATCCCAGTCTCCCCAATACAACTTGAGGAACATGTTGGCGGGCAAGATCTGGCCCGCAGGCCATGTGTTTGACACCCCTGTGTAATTGGTGCACAAGTAGGGGGAATTGTATGACAAGGATGAGGATGTGTAAAGTCTTTGGGGATTAAGCGCCCTCCTGTGTAAGAGACAATTACAATACAAGTTTGAGTTGATGAGAAGGTAGCCTACTGTGAAAGTAACAATTAAAATATTGCAATAATATTGACCCTGAAGAGGTCACACTGACAATTAAGAGGTCATGTTGACCATAATGAGACTTTAGCATAAATCACACATTTGTACTGATAAAAAAACTACAGTCCCGGTGTCCTCGCATTGCATTAATGAAGATTTGATAAAGATTTGTTAAAACGTTGGCATCTCTGCAGCGCTGCAATACTCTTCGATATTTTTCCTCATACATTTCCCCTTGAACAAAACGTTTTCTTACAATCACACTTCATTTCAGATACAATTTAATCAGTAGTGTCTGCACCTACAGTACCTCTTATTGTGTGCTCATCTCTCTCTATTTTCTGTCTAATCTCTTCATCATCTGACGTTAAGACAGACGTTTTAATAGATCGTGTAAAAGCAGGCTAAGCAGTCTTGGCAGTCTGAGCTACCTTTCTGATCCTTTAAAACTTAGTCTAAAAGTCTCACACAGCACTGACACCCTCTGCTGCTCCTGTGGAGGCCTGTGGTCTTGCTTTCCTCAGTAATGGGGAAATTTGGGGGCTGAAAAGTGATGCTGGGAGAAGGGGGTTCAGACCTCAGCACATTCAGGAGAGCTCAGTATAACATTGTCTCTCCCAGGCTTGGAGCTCCCCCCCCTCTGCACACACCAGCAGGTACGACTCACTCTTCACCTGTGGCAGGCGAACCTGAAAGGGAACAAACAGGAAACAAAATAAGCCTAGGCAGCTGTGGTGCAATTAAATTATTTTCCATCAAACATGCCTTTAGATTTCTTAGACCTGTCTACCATAATAGCTGATTCACAACATGTCTTGATCATTTTCACATTAGTTTAGTCCAATGAAAATATTTTTAATACTAATTCGGGGTGAAAGAAAACAAAATGAGTTTTACTTGTATTCTAGTATCCTTCTTCATGCCTGCTCAAATAATTTATGGTACTGGCTGATAGTCCGCTGAACAGATTGGCGGAGCTCTTTAGAGAATAACCTAACTCCAGTGGCAGTTTGTTAATAAGGGGTGCCGAGGCACTGCCCCTCCAAACATTGAGAGAAGAAATTCTTCTTAAATTGAACACACAACTTTGAGAAATGAGGTCTGGTTGACCGGTAGCTTTGTTAAGTTGGCTGCCCAGCTACCGGCACTGTTGCCCGGCTTGAGGACAGGACCTCAGTCCACCAGGATTTTGACCTTGTCAGGCCCGGGACACGGGGCTCTCCGTGGGTAAAGTGTAATTGGTTGATGATGGGGAGTAATGTTAAACTGTAGGAAAGAGACTATCAGCGAGTTCAACCGGGACTCCAGGGATGGCGAAAGCACGAAGTGTCATGCTGGCAAAGCGGTTGCAGAGGGATGAGTTGGAGCTGGAGCTCATTAGCTACCACAGCTAGCACTAGCGCTCCAGGCATCCCGTGGCTGTACCACTGACCAACACTCGGCTCTCTGATGCCAAAATCCCGGTCGGACTCGCTTTAATCTCCACGTTTCAGTAACATTGATGTTATTCTATGTCTTTCAACGATACAACTTCCCTATATAAACATAACTCTCTGATCCTAGCTGTCTCTCTTACTCTCTCCCGAAAATAAACAGTTCCACAGAGCGCCCCTACAGGCCTGGAGCACTTCTGTTTAAGGCTGAGTTTGCAGCGTTTCTGAATTTGCTGTTGCTTTCTGAGTATGTGTGTTTTTGACTTAAGTTTTGTTTCTGTACTTGCAGCGTGTTTGATGCTTATGCAGTTGTTTTGCCTATTTGCAACGCGTTTGTTTCCTTAGCAGCGCATTTCAGCCTTTGCATTTGTTGTGGGAGTTTGCATTTGCTTTTGAATGTGCAGCATTTCTATATATGCTGCGCTTTTTAAAAATGTTCATCAGTTACTGAATGTGTGACACCTTCTGGCCACCGTAGTTATTAACACACAGCCATTAATAGAAATACACATGCACAACCATCACTAGCTAGCTGACTGACCTATTGCTTCATATTTTTCACCTTTCCTCAGCTTCATGCATCCTCAAACAAAACATTTTAACATTTCAATTCCTGTATGAAGTAGAAAGTAATTGAAACACTTGACATTGTGTTTGGCAAAAAAAAGTATTCTGGTAAAGGTGCAACCTTCAACACGGGCTGTGTTTCGGAAGTAAAGAAAGACGTGATGAATGAGTTCCAGAGCAATCCTTGATCGTCACCTCACAGACAGCTTGTCTGAGCTGCTGTCTGTGTTGTTGGAATAAAACAGAATATCATGAAACATTGCAACTTACTTTGCAACACATTTTAGTGGGGAGATTTTGCAAGAAATAGCTGCCTGCCAAAACCCCATAGCACTGGATATCCGCTCACGCTCACATTAAGTAGCAATAATGAAAGGCAGCTCGGCCAGCACTGACCAAAACACAACATGGATCACTCAGAAGCCATCTGGAATGACTTAGAATCAAGTAAGGAGATCAAGTGTTGTATAGGATGACATAAATTAGTAGATGTGTTTTCTTTCTGAAAGTGTGACTGCGCCTGGTTTTGGACATTGGGTACCACCACTAAATGTTTTTGGTTCAGACCATATCTGCTTACTTTTACCCCCGCCTGTGACATGATGCGTTATGCAGCGTTACATAGAGATGCTAAGAAACTTTTGTCATCTCTTATGCAAAGAAACAATAGATTGTTTAAGTTATGATCAAGATGCTAATTCTGCAAGCCCGTTATTGCCATTTGGCAATTGGGATTTTGTGGTAGCATCAAGCTAACAAACTTAGACAAACATCTTGTCCACCTGTGAGAAATTGCACCCCAACTGGGGATTAATGCACCATCTGCCACAATCATAAAAAGACAAAAGTAGCTGTATATATACTTTCGTTTTAGTACAGTCAAAGGTTATGATACACATCATGCCGTTTTCTGCTTGTTGTCTGTTATGTTGGCGTTGATGTGTGTACACAGCCTCTGCCCAACCATTGGAAAAAAAAACAAGTTGCTCAGAGCAAACCTCACAAATAACAACTTAAAAATCATTTTGATGTTACTCTGATTTGTAATGATAAAGGTGCATCTTTAAATCCCACACTGAACCATGAGCTTTTGCTTTTGCACCTTGTTTGAGAAGGCTTGATTAATAAAAAATCACTGTTATATTGTACCATAAATTATTGAATGTAGTTAGCCCTAGACGACCTTGAGCAACTGCAATGCCAAAATTGCTTATTCAGAACGTTGTATACTCAACATCAAAAACATAAGAAGTGATTCTGGCAGGAGATTTTGCACACCCCATCTGCAATTTGACTAAAAATTTACTCATATTGGAGCATTTCTACCATGTACTACTGACATTTTAAATTTAATAAGAATAACACTCATTACCATGTTTATTTTCCACCATTGATGAAATAATCTACCACACACAAAAGCCCTGTGGCATCAAAATGTCCACATCAAATCCTTAAGTCAGAGTTCTGTTTTTGTATAGGTCTATACCCTGTGGAACAGGAGCAGGTGTCGATGCAGCGGTATCACCAGTGGGTAATGGCAGCCTGGGGGCGAATTCTCCCTCTGTAACACAAGGAGGTCAGACCAGTGAACAGTCACGAGAAGGAGGTGGCCTGCTGTGTACATTTCAGAAAAATCTGTAAAAGTTTTTCCATATGTTAACCTCTTCTTTTTTACTTTCAAAACAACTGCAAAGCCTCTGCAAATGAACAAGAGAGACAGACATGCTGTTTCAACGTGGAAGGAAGAGACAATATGAGAGTGGATTAAAGATAGGCTTACATCCCATGGTGCATCCACATTGTGGGCAGGCAGAGCAATAGATGCTGGGCAGATACTCAGCTCTGGGACAGGAGGAGAGAGGAACATCAGAGCCATGTTGTGCAGCAACTGTTGCTGGTAAGCCTGATTTGTTCTAACGCTACAGACAGAACAGTTCATTTTTTTTGTGGGGATGAAAGCGAAGAGGATTTGAGCGTGACGGGGGGGAAACAATAAGCAAAGTAGAAAGCAGTGGCTGAGGTGAAATGAGCAATTTTATCATCCATGACACACTTGAGTAGGCTTAAATCATTCTTTTTTTCATAAAGCTACAGTTAGGGCTGGCTCAGGTTTGGACCAGCTCCTAGTTATGCTATAAAGGCTTAGACTGCCGGGAGACCTGGCACAATGAGCTTGCCCCCCTCTTTCTCTGTCTGTCTCTCTTTGGTGGAGTGAGGGTGGAGCTGAGAGTGGATTGTTTGGAAGTGTGAGGGAGTTTTTTTGCTAACTTTAATATAGCTTACTTTTTTGTGTTGTCTTCACATGTTTGTTAGGTCAGTGTGTAAGATAGAGTTTGTACTTTCTGTGTGGTGTGTGTTAACTTGGCACCAGTCCAGCATCTGAGGCTGCAGCAAATGATTTTGAGAGGCTTTATTGCCGACATGGCACCAAGATGGTGTCCTTGGTGCAGTGCAGTGTGGAGGAGGCCAGGCTGGCTATGAGTCTGTGAAGATGGCCTCTATGAACGGGGCATTGTAATGTTATTGGATGCTAAGGCCAAGGTAGGTTTTCATTTCGTCATCATTTCTTGCTTTTCTGTCTTACAAAAATTAGCATTTAGCATGATAAATTGAAGGGTAAATGGTAGGAGTCAGATTTGGGTTGAGGAACGATGGAACTGAGGAGATACTAGAAGTATTGAGAAGAAGCGACTGACATGTAGTCAGAGTTGGTGTAGCAGTGAGAAAAGCATTTCTTCTGCACCCGGTAGGCGATGATAGTGCCTTAGTGAGAAGAACTCCAAAGTCAAATAAACCCCAATTTCCACAGTCCGTCAGCACTTTTGTGCCTGTTTGGCATAATGTTGATAAAGTGATTGAAAATATGATCATGAGTCTGTATATTGTGTTTTACTTTGAATTTGACCAGATGCTCTGTGTGTTTCCTTGCCTGACTTCCTGTTAAAACAAGTTATATTCTGTCCAGACTTTCCAAGTTGAAATTCCGATTGTTAGGGGGCAAAAGGAGTGAAAGGAGATGGGATGAGGGATGCATACATTTGTTTGTGGAGAAAGATAGGGGATGAAATTATTCTGAAAGGGAAGTCATAGTACTGGGCATGACACACCCTGACCTGGCAGGCAGATCTTAATCGAAATAAAATGTTTGTGGAGTTTGTTAATGAGACGATTAAAAGGACCCCGACCAGTGTAGATATTGATTGGAGTCTGCGTTGAGGATGTGTTCCTGATCAACGGAAAAAGGTAGGCGTGTTTCTTGCGTACCTGTCCCAGCTCATGTGATATCAGCGTCAGAGAAGTAGGAGAAATTAAGGCATGCTTAAAAACGTATGAAACGGAAATGGGTGGTGTTTGAGGCGTTGTCTATGTTCCTGAACTAAGTTTCACAAAAAAAAGTGTCTTGAGATAACAAAAATTGGCGCTATACGAAAGATGACGATTGATTAATTTAAACCTTACTCATCAGTCAGCAGAAGGACCCTCAACACTGTATCTGTTAAAGCACATTGTACAGAATATATAAAAACATAGGCTATTCTTAGAGTAAGAATTTCAATCAATCAATCAATCATTATTTGTATAGTGCCAATTCATAACAAATGTTATATTGAGACACAAAGAGCAGGTAGAAAAGACCTTACAAATTGTTTAACGCCATGTTCTGACTGAGGCCTCCAGGATAAGCGGATGCTGATGGGTTTGTGCAGCACTGTGTTTTTCAGAGTGGCTCATCTGTAGGTCTCATTTCACATCACATTTATGTTTTTCTTAAGAGTCTCAGCACTATGTGTATGTGTGTGTTAGAGCTAAGGTCATTCTGAAAACAGACAAGATTGTCTATTATTCCATTGTTCCACTTGTTCATGGATTCTAGGTAGTTTAAAAACAATGTTTTTAGCTAAACCTGAAATATGGTGGTTGAAAGGGAAATGCATTGCAAGAGATAAAGGATGCAAAGTCAGAAGCACATACAAAGGCAAAACACAGACAAGCTGAAAAAATGCAATAACAGTTAATATGATGCAATTATGGAAACATTGGAGTCAATAATGCAAAGAGAATTGAACAGTTGTGTTGCTTCTAATGTACTTGGCTTTATGCCATGTTTTTTGTTCATGTATTGTTTTAGGTAATAATGTTTTAGAATTTTCATCATTTCTGAAGATGCTACCCATGTCTCCAAGTGAAAGTCTAGGCATTTGCAGCTATTGTACTGTCACATTTTACAGAGTCTTTGTCAAGTTCATTATCATAAATCTGAGGATAATGGTTCCTGCGATGTCCTGACATGGTGAAGCAAACAGATAGAAGTTATGTAGACAAATGGACAAATGACGGTAAAGATAAAAATTGTGACTATGATGATGAAGATGATAATGTTGGTGATGATGTTGATCCCTTGCCTGTTTCCTTGTTGGGTCTCCTGTCCTGCATTCCCTCCTTTAATCGCTCCATTTCTATCTCCAGCTCACAATTTCTCCTTTCTGTTTCTTGTAACCGTCTGTTAGAAAGACCGAAATATTGTTTTTTTTCCTTCTCTGAGTTCAGTAAAGCTTCAAGTTGTAAATTGTGTACATTCCAATACAAAATATGAATCCCCATTGCAAGTTGTCAATAAGTGGTTTGTTATGCACACAGACAGGCTTTCTGCAAAGTGAATGATTATTTTGCCATGCATGCTCAAAATGTTAGCAAGCACAATGAATACCTCTTCATGTCTTCATTGAGATCTGACATTTTGTCAGTCTGCTCCTCCTCTGTGGTGCTGGTGTGTGTGGATGCAGGAGGACCAGGATTTAGAATAAATGGGAGCTCCAACAGTGCAGTTTGCTCATCTAGAGTGTCTGTGAGCTGCCACAGCTGGCCCTGAATAGCAGAGAAAGACACTGAGCAATTTTTGTAATCACTACCTGAAAATACAGAGCTGTTTAATAAATGCTGCATATGAGGAAACTGATACAAACTGAACTATAGGTACCGGTAAGTTCAAATATGTACAGACTGAAGGGTGATGTCCTCTCACCAGTTTCTTTGGTGTATAAAGACTCTCAAAGCCCCTCAGCGTGGTGTGGTCAATCTGCATCATAATGTCCTGACTGCGGTCAATAGCCCCCGTCTGACTGTAAAACGGAGACCAATTCAACAACACCAAGTAAGACTCCAGAATTGGGCTAGACATAGTCACAGTTAGTCATAAATCGTAACGTAAAGTTCACCTAGTAGCTGTGTAGGAGTATCCAACAAAAGCCATGTGTACTCCTATTGGAGCTTTCTCTATGACATCAGACAGTGTCTCCTGCAGAATTTATAGAATTATTTGTGATCCTTGCATCCTCCGTGTACAAGAATGGAGTACATTTTCAGGCACAACATTTAGAGGAACAATGTGAAAGAACATTACCATCTTCTTGAGACAGTCGTCCAGAATGTCAAAGTTGGACGTGTCAGTTGGATTTGATACTTCAGGCAGGAAGGGGGCAGAGAGTTTATGTAGGGAGCCCCAATCTAGTCCAGAGAAGAAAGGATGGCTTCTAAAGTCACTGAAGCCTTTCCTCCCCAGACGGACTTCCTTCTCACAGATGAGGCCAGTGATGAAAGAACAAGCCTTTTCTGAAATATCAGGGCCAGAAGCAGGGAGCTCGAAATGCTCCTGGGCATGAAAAAAACCCCATTACATTAGCATTTGTATTTGTTTGTAATGACATAGCTTTTGTTCATTACTAATGATGATATAAGTATACAAAGTGAATAAAAAGTTAAGCAATTGAAAAATGTAACGCTTCATTCATATCTTAGTATTTGACATTTCTTTATTTTACATCTTGTATGTATATGTATGTATATATATATATATATATATATATATATATATATATATATACATATACATATACATATATAGTTTATATAGCATACTAGTGGACTCTGTTGCTGGTACATTGGTGCAATTTGATGAAAAACAGAAGAGCAACTGCTCCTGAATGAGAATGTTAATGCAGGATGTTTTCCCTCTAAATAACTTTAGTTTTTGCAACAAACAACTTTAATCTGCTCATCTGACCATGTTTATTTAAAATTCAATATTTGACATGTCCTTCATATTTTTTTGTGTCACAATTGTCAATATGTACCTGGAAGTGAATGATCTTTGCATATGTTTCAGAGATGGACTCTGCATAGAAGGGTGCACTTCCCAGCAACATCTCATAGGCACAGATACCCAGAGCCCACCAGTCACATTCACGACCATAACCTCCAGCTCCCTCCACTGCCCTTAAAATCTCTGGAGACAAATAGTCAGGGGTCCCCACCGCAAGAGATGAGTGAACCTGCGATTAAATATGCAGGCTGATTGATTTAAAAAAAACAAAAAAACTTAAAAAGCATATGATGACAAGAATTGTCAACATTTATGCTAACATGTGAGTGGCATGAAACTGTATTGAAAAATGGTTTGAATCATTTTCATGAGACTAGAAGTGACTGTCTGTGAGTGCCTCTCACCATCCCATCTTCAAGGAGCCTGAGACAGGAACCAAAGTCCCCGAGTCTGATGTGTCCCTCCGCTGTCAGCAGGATGTTGTCAGGTTTTATGTCTCTGCGGAATAAAAGCAGAAAAACTGATGACTGTCTTTGCCAATTCATCCAAAACTACATGTTTACCACGTGGGATCTTACTTAATAAAATAACATATATATATATCGTACAGTGTGGCATGTTCAACATTTATTAAGCATAAAGAGGTACCTGTGTACATAGCCCAGTCTGTGGACCGAGTCAATGGCCATGACCATTTCAGCCAAATAGAACTGAGCCATGTCCTCAGGAATCCGGTGTCCAAACTTACTGAGTAGAGTCAGCAGGTCTCCCCCTACATAATAGTCCATTGCCAGGTACTGATGGAGGGGGAAGTGGATAAATGTATATGTTAGAGACTAGCATTTGTGTTACATTTGTGTTAAATCCTTTTCTTGTCAGAAGTGATTGGCCACAATGAAATTACCAGGTAGTTGTCATCCTGAAATGCATAATGCAACTCTGTGATCCAGCGTCTGTCACCCCTCAGCAAAACTTCCCTCTCTTCCTGGTAACAAGCTGTCTGTTAATCTCACAAAGATAAGATGGATCAATAAAAGCCATAGTCATAGAGACCAAATGCTGCATGAAACCATGTGACAGACATCCAGAGTAAATAAAAGAGCATGGGTCTCATTAAGACTTCTCTTTACTCTCTAATTTCAGCCCTGCTCATGCAATAAAGAAACCTGTTGTAACCTGACTTCATTGTTTGTCCTGACAAAGTGTGTGTCTGTGTGCACCTCTCCTCGCCTCAGCATGTCCCACTTATTCATAATCTTCAGAGCATACACTTGTTGATTGCTTTGCATTCTCGCCACAGCAACCTGCAACAAAGAGCAGACAGAATAACACCTCAGGGATGTATACTAAAAAGGGATTTACCAATGAGGGCCTGATATACTAAGAATGTATGGATTATATTCAGGCACAAAAATGCCCCAAAAGTTTTCCTTTTCCTTGCAGTTTGATGTTGTTTTGCATCTCAATGTGGAGAAAAACTATCTGTACCTTTATTATGTTACGGAGCTGACAGAGCACAATTTTGTCCACATAAAAATGATGAGCTAGGAGGGAGAATGTTTTCAAGTGTAATTTGAGGCCAGCCATGAAATATTTGATACGAGTTTCACTGTTTAAAACAAACCTTCCTCCCTGCAGCTTGAACAAAACTCAGTTTCGAGTCCATGGGTACTTCTCTTAGATTGCATCCACGTTTCCTTCACTTGCTTCCATCACAATTTTATATTAGCCAAAAAAAATTCAGCAAAACAGGATTTTCAAACCGTATGATCATTAATGATCATGACGAATGTAAAACGTGTTTCTGATGGACGACTCCCACTCTGTCAGACTGTCATTCTCATCATGATCAAATTACAAAAGGCAAATAGTGTGAGTGATCATGAAAATAAATATCAACAATTTTAATAATGGAGTCGTTCATGATCTTTTGGTTTTAACACTATTAACAGACTTTTTGTTTGATGGTGAATCAGAAAACAATCAAATATAAAAGTCGGGGGTGATTGGCCTACACTCTTATATTAATTTTATGGAACTTGTGCTTCTTATTACGTTGTTACTCCTCATGTCAGACACTTTTTTACTCCCAGCTCATCACAGACTGACTCTTTACAAACTGACAGATGTTTACAGTCTGTTTAGCGTCTTTTTAATGTCCATCTTTTCTCTGTTATTAAACTCAGCTGATGTTGATAAGTTTCACTGAAGTCCGATCCGCTGCAGCGTCCAATCAATGAGTGAGAATCTGGGTCTGCTTCCTTTCTGGGATTCCAGTTAAGACAAAAATGCAAAAAGATATATGGGGCCCCAAACTAACTAAATAAATGGAGGAAATCATTGACTGAGATAAAACATTAGACTTGACCGAACTCAACTCAAAATGTTTGAGGCATCTCTACAACTGAAGAGGAATATAAGACTAAAAAGCAGAAATTATTTTAACTCAACTTTGACTCGAAATTGACTCGACAGTATAGTTTGAGACAGGTAAAACATGATGGTGCCCCCTTTTTTTGGCCTGTACTCACAGTTATTGTAAAGTCGTTTAACACAAGTGTCTAGGAAGGTGGTAGAAAGGCAACTCAGCAGATGACGTTTTTTCAAGTGGTGAGTATTTATTTACAGCTAGTAACCCAACACATGTTAACTTAATAAAAACAACAAAAGTTCAATGAAAATAAAGTAAATTAACTCCTACTTAAATCTGATTAAGGCCCGTGTTAAAGGCAGCACGTCCTCACCTCTTCCCTTGCAGGAAGAAATGTCTCCTGGTTTTATAGACCAGGAGACATTTATTTATACATTTATTTATTTATACATTTATGATATTTTGTCCATTTTGTGGAACCCACCTGATACAGTTACCAGCTAGTGGCAGGTGGCTTAGAAGCAGAGAACAACATGTCCAGAAATATTTGATCCCATGTCTTACATTAGATCCATGCATAAGTTGCAATTAAATCATGTAGTCTCTAACAAGACATATGGCTGTGTCATGATGTCATTCAATTTGACAGTTGCAATTAATTAACAGGAACTCCAGAATCGAGGGTGAAAAGGAAAGACATGAAACTTGAATCATAAAGCTTCATCAAATGTGTGTCAAGAAAAGCTTGAATAAAAATTATGTGCAAAATAATTCTTCATGAAATTAATTGTGTTGATGTGGAGGATAAAAATGATTATTTTGCCTCCAGGTGTAAATACAATTATTACATCTGATGGTGGTAAGAATTACATTAAGAGGTAAAAACCTAGAAAATTTAGAAAAGTGTAGGATCCAGTTACAGTTGGTTAGAAAACACGCTTTTCTTAAAAAGAAGAGGAAATATGTGTGTCAAGTTGTTAAAGATGCTGAAAATATTGACTTTTTAAATGTATAATTCCTTGCTCAGGCTGACTCACCTCGCTGAATGTGCCGCGGCCAATCACCTTTAGGATTTGAAAGTCTTCTCTTTTGATCCGAGTTTTCTTCACCTGCCTGACCAGGGGCTCCGCTGTGATTGGAGTACATCAGAGAGGAAATTTAAAAGTATAAGCAGTCCAGATGCACACAGGGAGTCCTTAATATTGTATTTGTAAATATTGAGAGTTAAAATGTCTGATGTGGAAGCATTTATTGCAGCTCCGCCAGAGGAATGTTTGGATTTGCACAAAATAACAATTACTTAAACTTACTGAGTATTATTCTGTGACTTTGGGGATACACATTTAAAAAATGTAAGGTGGCTTAAAGTCCAAGGTAGTTGAGTTTGGAGTATTGACCGCAGATCAGGAAGCGCGTCCAGTTTCTGCTGCTTTTCCTGTTCAAACGAAGGGTCTTACTTTGAGCTAAAGAAAAAGCTTCTGGCAGATGGAACATCAGAAGTTGAAGCACAAATTGGAGCTCAAAAAACAAATTAAAGTCGAACGTATCCGGCAGCAACCAGAAAAGTCTAAATTAGAGCTTAAAGGATTTTTTTTATTATTTATTTAACCTTTTTATTAACCAGGTTTGTCCCATTGATATTAAGAACCTCTTTTTCAAGGGAAACCTGGCCAAGACATGCAGTAGCAAAAAATGCAGAGTTCCAGACAGTGACACAAAGAAAGACACAGTACAATTTACAAAGACACTACATTTTGCATTAAAATAGAACCATCTATTATATCATCTAGAACCAGTCAAATCTTGGAGTCAGTAGTTAAAGCAGTCGATCTAAAAACATCGGCATCCAATAGAATCTGCTTCCATGTCTTTCATTTTTGATTTACAAACATTTAAGGAGCAGAGGCGAGCATGTACAAAAGATCACCATAGTCTAAGACAGGTAAAAAAGTTTGCGCGACAAGACGATACCACCTGTCTTTTAGTAAAGATGGTAGGGGGTGTGGTGATGTTTCGGGACAGGGTCCTCAGTCTGTTTTGTCCCTTTGACATTAATAGTCTGTCTGTTGTCACAGTTTCACGAGAGAGACCCAGATTGATTTTTTTGTGTTGTTTGACCGTGTTGCCCAGACCTCGATTGGACTGACACAGACTTTGCTCTCAGGCTGCAGTGCGTCCTTACAGGGAAAGCTCAGAAATTGTATTAGACTTTAGAATTTATGTGAGTTAATGATATTTGAACAGTTCAAGAATGTGCTTCTGAGTCGGACTACTACATTTATAAATTAAATTGTATAAATGATATTTACAAGCCGGATATTATGGCTGCTTTTGCGCCTTTGATTCATGGTGGTTTTGTGTCTTTAACAGGAAGTGTGATTAGAGTGCCTGTGACAATCCTGAGGGGTACTGGGGCTCTGGACTGGACTCATACATTCTGTGCTGTCATTTCTCAGTTAACTGATACTGGTAGTTTTACTCTGGTGTGGGGTTAGGGTTAGGGTTATGGGGTTAAAGGTGTTCCCTGTTCCCCTGTGGTTTGGTTCAGGGTGAGGTAGTTATGGCTGTGCGCCTTGCGCTACCAATACAAGGTGTGCATGTTGTTCTTGGGAATGATATTGCTGGTAGTAGGGTATTATAGGCCTTCTGTTGTGGTTACTTCTCTACCTGTTTGGGATGTCTGAAAAGTATCTCTGATGTTTGTTCTGTTCCTCAGATTGCGGGTACTGTTAAATCAGGGCATGAAGTTGACCAGGTTAGTACAGTGGAGTATGGGGCCTTTTCTGTGGCTTTACCTGACCCTCTGTGTCTCACAGTGACCTGATGAACAGCTGTAACAGATGTGGATGATATGGTTGACCATTCAAAAGCAAAATGCGAACTCCCGAAACAGACGCTGAAACACGTTGCAAAAGAATCAAAAGTTCTGCAAAAAGGCAAAACAACTGCATTAACATCACATGAGCTTCAAGTACAAAGTCAAAAACACACATATTCATAAAACAACTGCAAATACAGAAACACTGCAAGCTAAGCCTTCACAACGGAAGTGCTCCAGACCTTAGGGGCGCTGTCTAGAGCTTTTTATTTACAGAGAGAGTTAGAGAGACAGGTACAGAAAGTTTTGTTTAGATAGGGAAGTTGTATCATTGAATGACACAGGAAAACATCAATATTACAGGAACACAGAGATTTAAGCGAGTCAGGCCGGGATTTTGACACCTGGGACTAGGCCTGGGTGATAAAACGATAACGATAATTATCGCAATATAATTTTTGTCAATAAAAATATTAAAAATGTTCAATAAAATTTTGATAGACCTGTAATTACACTGCCCGAACACCGGGAAAAGGGGGGACGCTAATGCGCCTTTAACGCTAGTTCCCAAACGGCGTTAAAGAGAAGAAGACGATGACGACGAACAGCCATTCATTTCACAGGGATAGCGGTAGGCAGGCTCAGAGACATTAGAGCGGAAAGAATACAACACGGCCAAAATGAGCCGGAGGAAAACGCTGAGCCTACCTGCTCAAAGCATACAGAAAGAATCATAGACAAGAAAGGCTAATCTTCAGTTGTTTGGAGGTATTTTGGCTACTTAGAGTCTGATAATCTGTGCCTAAGACAGGCAACACGACAAACTTATCCCACCATTTAAAACAGTATCACCCGCTAGAACACGCTGAAGGAATAAAATTACAGTCCCAAATGAGTGCTAGCAGACCCTCAACAAGCACCGGGTCAGTGAGTTTCGCTCCCAAGCAGCAGCAAACTATCATTACAGCATTTTCCAGCACCGTGCCTTACGACAAAAAAACAAAAAGACACAAAGACATTACGAATGCAGTTGCATTTTTCATTGCAAAAGACATGCTTCCTATTAGTACTGTCGAAAATCAGGGATTCAAGAAGCTTATCAATGTACTTAACCCCAGATATGAGCTACCTGGCTGGAAACATTTTTCACTAACTGCACTTCCCCTGATGTACACAGAGCGTAGGGAGAGGTTGCAGCGGCAGCTGCACACAGTTTCATCCTTCACCACTACATGTGATATGTGGTCTAGCCGAAAGGTACTTAGTGCCCACCAGGCAGGACATGGATGTTCTCGAATCTGTGGGCGAGGCCTTAAAGCCACATTTGGCGTTCACATATTCCAGCTCTGGTGAATCATATGTGAGTGTGTCATACCTGAAGCCTGTTTTGCACCTCTTTAGAACAAATGTTCTTCACCCCTCAAATGATGAAAACACAGCTCATAAAAGACATAAAGAAAATGGTCATGGACTATCTCAATGAGAAATATGATGATGAAGAAACAGATGACCTGCTTGACATGGCATCCTTGCTTGATCCAAAGAGCCAATATATCAAGCCGGACAAGATCGAGGCCATAAAAATGAGAGTGACATCTGAGGTTCTGGAGGGAGACCAAGGAGGTCCTTCTACTTTACAGGCTTCAGAAGAGGCAGATGATGCCCCAAATGAGCCCCAGCAACACAGGAGTCATTGATTTGCAGTCAGTTGAGGCAGAGCTGGAGAACTACCTAAAAGCTCCAGATGCAAATGGGGAAACTGAACCCCTGGAATGATGGAAAATGCATGAAAAAACTTTCCACGAGTGAGCCAGCAAGCAAGGCGCTGACTGTGTATGCCTGCCACCAGCTCACCCTCTGAGAGGGTTTTCAGCACAGGAGGGAACATTGTGACCTGTCACAGAGCAGCGTTAAAGCCTGATACTGTAGACAGATACATTTTTCTGGCCCGTAACCTTTAGAGCAATGGCTTTGTTTGTTTATTGTTGGGTGGGGGTTGTTGCTGCTGTATAAATCCAATGATTAAATCGTTAAACAGACTGTGGATTATTCTACAGGTTAATCGGCTGAGGTCAGACAGTGACAACAGAACACAAATTGTTAACAATCACGAATGTTAATAGACTTGCTTATATTCTGCTAGAAGGTACATGCTACAAATTCTTGGCTACTTTGGTACATCTCTATAAGGCCAGAAAGAAGACATCAGCTTGACTCGTAAATGTCAGACATATACATTTCATTCTTAGCAAACTTTTGCTCGCAACAGACAGTTGGCTCCAAACCAAATAAAACTCTGCTGCTATGAGATGTTTTACATAGATATGGTTACAGCTTCAACCTAAGAGAAGAGTTACTCTTAGATGGTAGACAGATTTAAACGGTTCATTCACAAAGTTACCAAAATGTACGAATGGGCTGTGCAGTTGTACATAAAGGTCAGAGTCTTGGCCAGTGAGTATTATCTATTTTTCCTCGAGATAATGCACGGATCATGCCCTTAGGGTCAGATTAAGTCGTTCTACACTGTCGTTTCCCCTAGGGTGATAGGGGGTTGTGTGTGACTTCATCACGCCTGAGACTCTCAATAGCTCACTTATCAAGCGGCTATCAAAGTTAGCACTTTGGTCAATATGGAACATTTTGGGATAGCGAGAGACACAGAAATAGCGGTCCCAGAGAACTCTTGCTACCAGATTAACTGTCTGGTCTTTACATGGAAATGCCTGAGCCATTCAAGTAAAATGGTCTGTTATCACTAAGACATCGACAGACTTGTGTTTGGAGTCTTCTGCTGACCAAAAGTCAATACATACCAGCTCAAGCAGCCTGATTGATGTTATGGACTGGAGTTACTGGGAATGTGTATTCAATGGCAAGATTGGGGAAAAACTGATGAAGTTCCATGAGCATGAATACCATGTTCATATTCTTGTTTTGTCCATAACAAGAGTCACTAAAAAGGCGACGTGCCCCGGATCTACGGATTTCCCCCTCAAGGCGACCCTTCAAGCAGTCACTTAGTGCAGATGCAATCATATTGCTGTCCTTACTGTTTTAATTTTCCTGCCATACGTAAAGATATACATTGTCTTTTGTTTTGATGACTGTTCTCTCCATGGTGTCGAACAACTCCGAACAGGTACAGGTATAACTGGCGAGAGTAATAAGCCTGTCCAATTGGTGTTTTAGGAAGGATCAGGTTTTGCATCATATCAAAACACAAAGTAACACCATTTTCAGTGACCCTACCTAGGAGGTCATAGAACACACGAGCTCTGCAAAGATGCAAAATGAATGTAACGGTTTCA